CGCCCCAGAATGTTTATGATATAAGAATCAATATGGATATATTGCCATTTACGTAAATTATTTCAGTTCGCCTGTTCATGTATCTCATAATATTTTTAGATAAATTCACATACATTTTGTTTGAGTTGTAATTATGAATCAATACCAAGTTCTCAACGAAAACAATTTATCAAACGGCATAATTTGTGATTAGTTATGCTTGACTTTTAAGGGAGAAAGATCTAGCCTTGTTGTCATCCCCAGACGCAGCGATATGTCTATGATATAAATCACCACACTGACCCAAGGTTTCATCAGCAATAAATGACACAAATCCACAATTTAAACAAACAGACTCATATTTGCGCCACTTACTTCAGCTGCCTCTGATGCTACCCCGGCCCTGACCAAAGTAAACCTTAGATGAGAGTAGCCAAAGAATCTGCGCAATTAGCAAAACAAAGGAGTGCTTTGCCCATCTCTTGAGGGATCAAAGTAAATCCGTTGAGTTTTTTACCATTGTGACGAAAAATGCCCCACAGAGGCCTAATTTTGAAGATGTCATGTTTGTATTAAAAGACGGTTATTTGATACCAGCAAAAACTGTAACAAAACTCTGAGTATTTGTAAAATGCATTAGTTTGCGAAAGTCCGTGTTTAATTCAATACATTACAGAAGGAATTTTGATTGAAAAAAGATCCCATTATCATTTTTTGATATAGAAGTCCATGCAGACCAATTAGCGCAGTTGAAAATCAGTTATGGATTCCTAAAGCAATAAATAAGCTTTCATCGTCAAGTAATGTGCACAAGTTACTTGATGGTAAAGTGTGAAATATACGACGATACTTCAATTCTTTTAATGAGACGGCTTGAAAACGGGCTCTAGAAGATAAAAAATTATTTAAACATGGAAATATAAAAATTCTATGAGTTTTGTTATATTGTAAAATTGTAACTTTTTCTGTTAAATTTTAGATTAACACCATCATTAGCTGTTGTTCTGGCAATCACGTCGACATGGCTTAGATTTATGGGCACTGGACCTTTGTGGCAGGTAAGCAATATTCTGTTAAATTATAATTGAATTATTGTAATTGTAATCTAAGTTATGACTAAAATACATATTATATGTATATTGTAAACAAAATTATATTTTGATTTTCTTCACTTGAATTTAACTTCTATAATGTGAATAATGGTGGAACCATTAATTTTTATGTTTTATTTTACTTATATATTAATAGAATAAATATTAAGGAGTAACGCATACATAAAAACATAAACATAATTAAACATAAACTCACTGCATTTTCAGGCTCATGAAACGAAAGAGATAATCGACTGTCGACGTTACTGGCTGTGGAACCTGATGTATATGACGAACTACAAAGACGGTTCGCACTGTATGCCACACGGTTGGTAGGTACTTAAAAACATTACTTGATTATTGAACTTGTTATTTACAACTGTTTACATTTTAGAAAAATCAAAAGCTAATCAATGCAGGAAAGAATAATAAAAAGGATGAATGAGTTGTACAAGTTACCTTTTTTATGTGAGCATACGAGCTGGCAGTTCACCTGATGTTAAATGATTCGCGCATTGCCATTTTTTACACCCTTAGGGAAGCCATCTGTACCGTTGGCATCTTATTATTAATTTTGAGATTGGTAAATCCCATCATTTAGAATTTTAGATTTTTAAGAATACATGATTTTTCAACTTATACTTTTATCAACTTTAAAAAATATATACACGATGCCCTTGATTGACTAAATTTTTTAAATTTGTTTATGTTTACGTTAATTTTTTTTCTTTTGATCTATTTTTTAAATTTTCGATAACTTTTTTTGGATTTAACTTTTTTTGTTAACTATTCGCTGAGTTTTTATCTTATATTCAGTGTTTTTTTTCGCACAAATAGTTTTAAATTCTTGTGTTGTTTTTAAAGCAAACCCAGCTTGTTATTAACATTACCTATAAATTGTCTAAATTTAGTGTTCATCTTATTGGTGTATAAATAAATAAATAAATACTTCTTTTGGCGCGTTTCGAAAAATTCATTAGTGTAAAATTCTTACGATGCGCGCGCACACCAACACCGTATGACGTTGGTTGCAAAGCGACTAACTTCATCATATTTCTTTTCTTATGCTCAAGAAGTATAACTCCTTAATGTACAAAATAAGGTACAAACACAATTTTTATTACGAAACTGCAGAGACTATTGTTATAATCGTCGTAATTTAAAGATTGTCGTTTTACTTTAAAAAATATAGAAGTATCATCATCTCATGATTATTATTAACGAGATAAGGTAGGACACTCTCGGAACCCCCATATTTACCGGGACCCCGGGAGATCTCTTGCAATTCACGTCAACTTTCTTAACTCGATCACTCAAGAACGCTAGTCAGAAGATTTGGTTAAATGGGTTAACTCAAAGAATATAACTAAGGTTTCCTGCGCTCTTCCCAGGCTCAAAAAGATTAATAAGCTCATTCCGCACATATTTATTTTTAACGTTTCAAAAAAGCTGGCGGTTCATCTGATGTTAAGTGATAACCGCCGCCCATGGACATTTACGACACACGTAGGGTTGCACATGCGTTGCCACCCTTTAATAAATAAATAAATGGGCTCCGGCTACCTCACTCACCAGACGAAATGTAGAAATATGATTCTTCCAATTCACGCCGGTCTTCTGTGAGGTCTTGTTACTTATCCCGACGAATCTGCCATTCGTGCAACACCCTGTTGCGTGGGCCTACCATAGTAGTCATACACATATTGTTATTCGACAACGACGGATTTCGACATTTAAGTTTCTTAATTTATTTTTATTATTATTTTCGTAGGTACTTGGCGGCAGACATGCATTTGTACTGTCTTGGCGTGGTCATATTAATTCTGGTGAAGAAGGGTTTCTGGAGGAAAGTGGTTCTGGCATCGATGCTATTGATTGGAATCCTTACACCCGCCATCCCAACTTACATCTACAACTTGGATATGCTCCTAGCATTGTCACCACAGTAATTTCTACAATTATCGTTCTGACTAGATGATTAAGCCACAGAATAAACGGGTTCATAAACATCAAGTTTTTCTCGATGTTTTGTTTATGTTTAAAATTGATTTGCCTTAATGGGAGCCGTGAGAGATTAGTGTCCGGGCGTTCGCCTTTAATAACATTTACTCGAGCAACCTGAGTTTGATATCCGTTGCCAGCACCACCAATTAAATGGTTAATTTAAAGTGCTGAGTTTTCACGTGCTCGACGATGAAGGAGAACATCGTGAGGGAAGCCTGCATATTTTCGAAATATTAATAAAAAAAATATGTGAAGTCCGCCAATCAGAAGTGGGGTCGTGTGGTGGACTATGCCCTGATAACCTCTTTACAGAGGGGGCATTTGCCGAACTTTTTTTTTTTAATTAAAAAACATTGCCCTCACTTTAGGATAGCAGTATCCTGTGTTGTAAGGACGTTTTACAAACATAAATTGCATGAGGACAAACACCCAGATGCGAAACACCTATCTGTGGGTCGCACAAATAAGTGTCCCGTATGGGAATCGAACCCACGAACCTCGATGCCGAAGCCTATACCTTGGCAACAGCGCCACGAAGTCATCAAACAGGGACATTTGCAGGCTGTTACTTTACTTAATCGAAATGGTCCGTAGATTCGATCCTTTCTGAAAGAAGACTTTTTATAATATAACTTACAAATTGTTACTCAGTCAAAATATTTCATTAAAATTAAAATTCATTTGCAAATATCTTTATTTAATATAGAAGCTTTACATAAAGTAAGTGTTACTTTTACACACAAACGTTCCTTAAAATTTTTTTTTGAATTTAGCAATTCTTAGACTTTTTTGTAATACATTGTCCCATAAAATACATAATTACTTATTCTACACAGTCTATTTGTGAGCAGAATTAATTTATGTTTGTTTTTTTTGTACATTTTACAGCTGTTTGTATCTGTAAAATGCCTACCAGACAGGATAATGTTATTCTTTGGTGAAAAAAAAAATAGTTTATCGATAGTATTCAGTAGGTTGCTTACCTGTTAAAAATGTTTGGAACAAATATTGTAGTCATTAACCGCTGTTTGTTTTTTATACCGCCCAGATATTTCAATTCAGTGCTTCATTAATTATTAGTTAAATACTTGGATCTATGTCCGATAGTTTATTATAATAATTTCTCAATATTTCCTTTATTTTTTTTTTCAGATCTTTCCGAAACTATGCCGCAAATGAGCCAACATTTGATTTCCTTTATAAGCGCAGTTATACCAACTTAGCCACCTATACAATAGGAATCATAACTGGAATCTGCTTGCACCACTGGCAAAAGAATAAATGTGATGTCAACAAGTTTAAGGTTGTATTTGTATAACTTCCCGGCCTTTAAAAAAACTCACTCCCTTTCTGTAGCATAATAGTATACGGTGATACTAACTTTCAAAAACGTCACAGGGGTAAAAGCTCAATTCGAAGAATTATCTGTGAATCACTCAAAAATTTATCCATGTAGGAATCGAGTCCACAATCCGCAGCATTGCTGAGTTTATACCTCAGAATCCTATGTAGATAAAACCATGCCTGACTTTAATGGGAATCCAGCTTTTATATTACTATTATCATCATCAATTTCTTACTTTACCCTATCAAAAGCTCTTTTGTAAAGATATTTATGTCCCTCTTCATTTGGTGGATGTGGTTCAGTTGGTTCTGTTTGCTTAAATGGAAGTAACACGGCTCAATTTTCAAAAGGTTGTCAAGGCATCTGCAACCCTTGGGTGTAGCAGATGTCCATGGGCGGCGGTATTCACTTAACATCAGGTTTTCACACAAAAAAGAAAAATTTAGGATAATGCTTCATTGCAGAAATTTGTATTGCTGTATTGGGCTTCAATTCCGATTGGCATTGGGATCATCGTATTCAACAAAGTGTTCTTTAACGACGGGCCGCAAGTGCCGCTTTTCCTCCGAATCCTGTTCCAAATGTTCGCAAGACCCGTGTTGTCCGTCCTTTTCGTAGCTCTTGTTATTGGAATGGTTTTCAAATTAGAAAGTGAGTAACAATTTTGTAAGTATTGGAGGTGTGTTATGGAAGACTGTAGTGATATTAATGTTCCTCCACCGAATTTTGCAGACACATATCGTGGTTTCTTTGAATGGAATGGCTGGGCATGGATTGCACGAGTGTCCTATTCGGCATACGTCTCACATGCAACCATTTATCGGTTGTTGTGTGGGAACTCAACTTCCTTGATAAAAATATCACTATTTTCGGTGGTGAGTAGTTAGTTATAACCATGGTCAAATTGGATTTTACATTTCGTTTATTCTGTTTCACGTACATAGGGATTGTTTTTGTACGACTATGTTTGTATGTTTTTTTAAGCCTTCAGAAATCTGCGTGTCAATGTGGAAGACAGAAGCAATGATATTGTTTTCATAAATTAAAAAAAAAAAAATGGATCATTTGATATTTTAGGTATCCCTTATCGGAATGGGGGTTCTCGCTTTTATGGTCGCGACCGTTTTCTGGCTAATATTGGAAGCGCCGGTGAACCAAATCGTTAAGATTTGCTTCGAATCCCCAGCGAAGATTACACAACATGAAAACAACGTAGACGATAAACAGGACTAAAAAAGTTTTAATTATTATATTAAACAATTTTACGGATATTATCAGGCTTATATTTATTCTATGAATTCAGAAGATTTCCAGTCACCCCAATACCAAAAGATACGAATTGCGTAGTTAACTTTGGTTCTATAAAAGTGCTCTCAGTATTCGACACGATCTTTGGGTCCATCTTAATTTTTTTTTAATGTGAAACGTTGGCAGGTTCACCTGATGGTAAGTGAATACCGCCGCCCATGGACATCTGCCACACCCGAGGGTTGCAGATGCGTTGACAACCTTTTCGGAAAGTGGACTCCGGCTACCTCACTCACCAGACGAAACGCGAAAGTATTTGTCATACTTCCACTTTAGGCTGGTCTTCTGTGAGGTCGTGGTACTTACCCGGACGGGCCTGATCTGTCTTTATACTGGTTGCTTCAATTAGAGCACATAAAATGTGTACATGAAACTGTGGCAAAATGTTTCGCCGATGCTGGGATTTGATTGTGATTTGGAAAAATGCAATTGAAAGAATGTAGATAGATGTCGAGATTTTCGCGCCGTGAGGGCGATGCCGTTTAGTTTTAAGGATGCGGGTTCGAAGCTCACGGTACCGTCTTGTGAAGTTTTCTTTTGTAATTTATGAAAAAAAAATTTAATTTAATTAAGTAATTTATGAAAAAATTATTTTATTGTCGGTAAATCTTAATTATTGTCTAATATTTCGGACAACATTTAATTATTTTTTTCATCTGAATTATAGATATTGACATTCAGAATAGAACAACGTTCTATCTGATTTGTGCTCCGTAGTAGAAGGACATTGTGTACAGTCAGGATCATTCGCGTAGTGCACTTACAGAAAAATTGCCTCGTTACTTGCAACGAGACAAACTCCGCCTCTTCTTCATGAAACACCAATTATTTAGCTGTGTAGTAAGCAATCAGTCGTGTGCTGTTCTGCATCCCTGCGTCTTTTTATATTCACAGTCTAATTTCCGTTAAGCTTTACGACCTTTGCTATTTTTTTTTAACTTTTACGAATACGGACCATTCGTGCAAATAGAAAACGTGGAATGTGCTATCTTGTTATCTTCAAGATCTCGGCAATATAAACTTGTTCCAATTTAACTTGTACCTCCTATAGCGAGATTATATTTACTTTTGTTTAAATCAGAAAGAGCTCCTCTTCCATAGTTTGCAAGTTTTGCTATAAAATTAAATTTTCACGTCGTAATTACGCCTTAACTTGCTGCTCTTATTATATTATTTATGTTATTTCGGTAATGAATTTAAAGATAATGTCTACATCATTTTTTAAATAAAAATTTATAATACATATATAAATAATTAAGTTTTACAATTATATTTAATTGCATTATAACGCACACACCACTCATTACTGGCAATACAATTCGTATCCGCCCATATCCCTCCCCTTCCGCCTCCCTATAAAAGCAAGAAGAAGTGAAGATCTCTTTACGAGGTTCAGGCTAGGCGCCTCGAGCGCTGGCCACCTCAAGCCTGTCGGATCTGTAAAGGCCCCTAAGGTCAACAGTGGCTCATCCACCCAAAAAAAAAAGATCTCTTTCTCAACGCTCGCAACGCACGCATAAATATTCAATCACCACAGCGTTGTGGGGAATACTCTAGTTATTCAACTCAAGAATTAATAGCAGTGTTGTGGGAAAAGACCAGTGCCCGCCGTTCAGACTGAGATATCGAAGGACAACTCAAACTCCAGCTTCCAGGTAATAATCAAAGTGAATGTTCTTAGGAAGAGTGTAAAATATTAGCATTTATTAATATAAATAACCTTCTAACAAAAAAACCGAGAACCCCAAATTAAAAATATCATTTTATTATTTTGAACCAGACTGTGAATGGAAGCAAGGCAAGCGAATTAATTACTGTGGTTTCACTCGCTTGATACGGACCTAAGAACAACCAATGCAAGACATCGGTAATCTAAACACTTGATTTATCGTATTTTCGAAATTGCTAAAATGACGTTTGCTGTGATACGGTAAATAAAAAAAAAAAAAAAATAAATTCCGTATATTACAGAATTTTATCGTATAAATGATAAGACTAAGTGTTATGTATAATTTACTCAGCCTTTTTCTTATTGGCGCGAAATTCAAAATGATTTAAAATATTTTTTTTTCAATTGCAGCCAGGTCAACTTAAAGAAACGTAAAAGCAAATTTTGAAAAAAATAGAAGCCATTTAATTTTAAAATATGGTACTTTCGACCTTAATCATAATTTATACTTCTAAACATTTTATTTAGAGTCATAAGAACTTATCTAATTTTTTGTATGTAAAGGAAAAACTAAATTACTGGTATTATATATCAACTTATCAACGCGCAGCTCAAACTACTAATTTAAAATTTGGGCTGATGTTTCAGTTATAACGTAGACCAGTACTAAAAAAAGATTTTTCTTAATTCGTCTCCTAAACGATTCAGTAATTAATTCATGATGTAGGGGATGAAAGTTTGTATGGAGAAATATTTTTCCAGATTCACTTGAAAATTGAAAACCACAAATAATTAAATACCAACATTAGGATTTTTAAAATATGTAGAAAAAGTGCGAAAAGATTGTCGCCGTTGTGAGAATCGAACCCACGTCTTCGGCATTCGCGGCCTGACGCTCTAGCCACTGAGCTATTAGGATTTTTGAAAATCGATCCTTAAAAGATCTTGGTCTAAAGAAGGAGATAGAAGTTTGTATGGAGAAATGTTTTACCTTCAGCAAAATTGAACTCACACGTGATTTTGAATGAATGAATGACTGAATATACTTGATTCCACACCAGAAATAAAACAAACAAAAATTAAAACTCAATGTAGAAGTGATGGGTACAATGGGCGGCCTTATTACTAAGAGTAATTTCTTCCAGGCAAGGTGTGGGTTAACTAAATGAATGAAAAAGAAAAATAATTATCTTTTCTGGCTAAAGATAATTAGCACTGCTCGTGCAAAGCCGGGGCGGGTCGCTAGTGTTATCGTAAAAAATGACAGGGTGCAATTTTTTAACCGCACCTGAAACAAAATTACATGAAATGCCATTCCGTTAGTTTCAAATAGCGACAAAACGATGTTGAAAGATTATTGAAAATAAGTGAAAAAATTAGGTGTTTTGGTTCAAAATTGCACCGTGAATAATAATAAATAATAATAATAATAAAATATCTTTATTCACATAGACGCTTGCGCGTTCTTATGAATCGTCAAAATTTTACAAGAAATTAACACGTTCGTAAGTTACCACCGGTTCGGAAAGCAGTTTCTGTTGAAAGAATTTATTCTATTAGTAGTGACTGGTCTACACTTGATCTTATGTTTGCTTGTAATAACTTTTTCATTTATTGAAAATTTTAAACCAAAGTAGTCAGAGCTCAGATAATTTATAACATATTTATCATATACATTATCGTGGCAGAAAACGTTATCTATACATGTGGAGGATGAGTTAGTGACACGAGTTGGTTCATGAAAAAGATTATTAAGTTTAAATGAACTAAATAAATTTAAAAGTCGTTTACTAAGATGTGTCACTTGTAATAAATCCACATTAAAATCTCCACAAACTACTACTGATTTACTACTTGAACAGAGTTTTTTAAGTACATCATCCATTACACACTCAAACAGATCGAAATCACCTGAGGGGGGTCGATACACGCATACTATAATATACTGTTGACTCTCAACGCAGGATAATTCTATAGAACGTTCGACAGAGTGTGTTACTATATCCTGTCGATTTTTACAGACTATATCAGTTCTTACTAACACAAGAGAGCCACCGCGAATAGCATTTGCTCTTACGAACGAACTTAACAATTTATAGTTCTCTATATCTATAATATTAAATAGCTTATGTAACCATGTCTCTGTGAAGCAGATGACATGGATGTTAAATCTTCTAAGAAACAGCACAATTTCAGGTTCTTTGCCACCTATGCCTAGTATATTTTAGTGTACAATATTTAATTTAAGTGGCTTAGGTGTTGTCTCAATGTTTAGTTTAAACTAACATTGTTTTTTGTAAAATTATTGCGAAGTAAAATGTTCTTAGTTGTACAATGTACAACTGGGTTTTGTATATTATATGCTACTAAAGTAGCAATTATTTTCTTATAATATAATGGAAAATACCAAGTATTTTTTGTCACCTTAAAACTAGACTTAATAAAACTATTTATGTCAAAATAAAAGAAAGCGTCACTATGACGGTGAGTTGTATTGTATATAGTCATGTTAAGACTATATATGTCTTTATTTTGTTCCTCTGTAAGGAAGGAGGAATATGGAAATGCGCATATTATAAATTTACACTTAGTCTTGTAATGTAAGCCCAGTAATATTTCCATATTATTGATAATTTCCTGTTTCCTAACAGATGAACTATCCCCATGAAGTAGTACAAATTATAATTACGTAGTTATTACTCGAAGAAGTTGACAAAACGTATTGTTCGGGAAAATAAAACAAATGAATGAAAAAAGTGTATGTCATCTAATTTTCTATTTTCAAATTTGACAATAAATTAAAAAAATATCATAACTGGCCACTTCCTCAAGTAAAAGATTTTAAAATCCTGCTTTTTTTTGTGTTCCGCTAATTGTGCCGGTGTGTATATTTATTTTTCTTCTGATGGTGTATATCGTTCAGAAACATTATTAAATAAAATATTAGCCACAGATGCGTCACGCTCTGCTATCGTACCTTCTTTGCCCCGAAAAATCATTATTTTTAAATCTCTATTGTTATTGCACTGACCGACTCTTTTTTGTACAAATACATTTAATATAATAATAAAATATCTTTATTCACATAGACGCTTGCGCGTTCTTATGAAACGTCGAAATTTAACAAAGAAATTAATACGTTCGTAATTTACCACCGGTTCGGAAAGCAGTTTTTGTGTCAAAAGATGCATCCTATTGGCTACCGCTTTCGCGTCATTGTCTCAAGGCGTACGAAATGTTCAAACGATTTTCG